CATTCTGTGTGTAATTGTATAGGTAGAGCCCATGCGAATAAACGCCGGTGCAGCGGGTTGCTATAGAAAGATTAGTGTTCAGTCGGAAGGAATAAACGCTTGGCCATTGTCGTCGGCCAGATTTTCTCTTGGGGGTGCAAACCATTGTTGCATTGTGACTTAGGGAGAGCGAGAGCACTAGTATATTTTGGGTGAGGGCAACTGCTGTTGTGGTTTGGGGGACAAGGGCCCCTTTTACACTTCTCTGCTGACGCCATGCGCTTGGCTTTTTTTTTTTCAATCTGTCCATGGCACTGAAAACTTGCTCTATTTGTATAATGACAAATGCAGTTGCGATTACGTTATACATCTAGAGTTGGCCAGCGTGTGTCAGCTGCATACGTCCAAATTAGTCTGGCCGTTAAAACGATAAAAATAAAGAGAGAATGTAAACCAGAACGCTGGGAATCGGCAAGGTGTTGCTGCTAGTGCGTGAATTGATTGCAGCTTTGAAACCTCAAGCGAAAAGAATGCTGAACACGGCATTGTTGTTGAACGACGATTCACATCAATGGTCGTGAGCCGCGATTGTAATACGATCGCAATACGACATGCGCGCTTAACGTTGGTGTCGCACGGTCACTCTCGATCGCTATCCAGCTCGATTCAGTTGAAGACTACAAAGCCTTGGCTGGTCAACTAACAGAGTTAACTAATGAGCCGAACGCGAAGAAAGTATTCCATTCCTGGCTCGATAGCGATCAAGAGTGAAAAAATTTTATATATTGTAAGACAGTAGCAGCGTTGGAGTCTCAACGGCGTTTATTAGGCCGAATCGCCTGATCAACCCTTCGAACGAAGACGACGTGTCGTCAATATTGTGCTTACAATATGTAAACGGGAAAACCGTGCAAAAGAAGCCGAAGCAATATGTACCACTGGTTCAATAAGCTGACGCCACACGTTTTTTTTTTCATTATTTACCAAAAACATAAACATAAAATCAAGGCTTCCAGGCGTGAGCAGAGCAACTGAGTTTGTTCGTACGTTCATAAAAAATAGAAAGAAAAAAAGCAAAAAAAATAAAGCAGCGCTATGAGCGCGAGTGCTTTTCCTACGTGGGTGGTGAGAGGTTTTCCGCAAGACATTGAACCCAAGATGGCGTACCTTGGCGCAACTTGAACCCAGATGGCGTACCTTGGCGCCACTTTGCTACCTAAAGGTAGCATATGCAGTAACTCTATCCCACGTCTGAGACATGAGCGCCACTTGGCAGTCTTCTTTCAAATAGAAGCGCGTGGCTCTCAGAGGGGTGTGCGCGCCCGTCTCAGATGTGATAAGGTGAGGAACGCAAAGCGACGGGTAGGTGCCACCACTATCGCGTCTTAGCAAAGCGTTGGAAACACTCACCTTTTCGTGCAAGCGTTGCATGGCCAGCGCAGCGTGATAAGCGCTACGGTCCTTAAAACTACTTATGTATGCATTTTCTAGTAAAAGATGTACATGCAGAAATATACGCGTTGTTATGGTGCCCCAGACGTGCGCAATAATTGCTCATTAATTGACAATATCACAAGTATGAACGCTAAACCTTGAGCAGCATTTGTGGGTGCTGCGGGTGAAGCCAGCCGTTTAAAATATCCGGTGCGTTGAGAGTGGACAAGCAGACAATGTACAGACAGAGAGACGGACAGACAGACACACCAAAATTTTTGCGTTGAAGGTCCTCAAGAAAGACTATCGTCTTTAAAAAAAAGGAACCAGCGACAAACAGCACACACACACATTCTGTCTCAGTCAGTCAATCTGGCGTGGTACGAGACGCTACCTACTTTCACAGCAGCCTATAAGAGCCCAGATTTCTTGAAGGACCAATTACAAAATTTCGAGCTCCCGATGTGGCTTTCTCTTGTTACCTTGATATGCTAGAGTTGTCCGAGCAAAGTACGAACTCTGTCTTTTACACCAACAGCATTCGACGTGTGCAACAACCACCCAGGCCATGCCACAGGCGCTGAGTGATGATAACGATAATGCCAATGATCTCAGTGTTGTCGTCGTGATGCCGACTGGCGACGACTCCGGGATGCGGCTTTCCTTCGATTGTCCGGGTTCGTTTTCTGAACTCCCTTGACTTCGCAGCACCATTTGAAATGATTCGTCTTGGGCTCGTAGCGTAGGATATGTAGGGATGATGATCTAAACTTAACTACGAGCCGGTGCGTCGTGAAACAATTGTGCGCGATTTACGCAAGTGGCAAGGTACCGAAAGAAATAATGCCTTCGTTGCAGAAAGCTGCAATGGCCATTTCAAAAAGCTTCCACTTAAGACTGCACACGCAAGTTTCGTCTGTTTATCTATTTTCGTAACACATTGAACGTTTGACTACATACCCAGAGACTCAGAGATTGCACTGTTCTTTGTAGTTTGATGGTGACATGGGTGATGCCAAGCAGGGACGCCTGACTGGTGACGAGACGCGCATATAATCGAAGCGTGTCCGTGTACGTTGGTTCGTAGTGAAAGACGCGAAGCGCGCATAATGAACAGGCAGACCTGAAAGGTGTTCTGAACCACCAGGATGCATTTCACATTTAGTAACAAATTGTTATTAACCAGCACATTGATTTATTGTGTAGACAGGTTACGTGCGCCTGTCGTGTAAACAAAATTTTATCTTGTATTTTCTTGTCAGCCAGCATGGAATAAATGCGCGTCCCAGGCACCTTGTCATCACAGCTCGGGCCGGCATCGGGTTCATTATAGGTTCTTTGCACAAGATCAAAGCGAAAATAATTAGTGACATATCATATCCTCCTATTCCTGGATTTTTTTAGGGACAAACCTCCTTAAGGCGTTGGTCGTGCGTCTCCTGTATGTATTTAACCACCTCTCGTTTTAGTGTGTGAAATGTCCGCTGGATGGCGGTATGGTGATTCTATGATGAAAAGATGCGAGATGGCGGTACTTTGAGTGTTCATTTGATTGACAGACACACAGACAGACAGACAGACAGACAGACAGACAGACAGACAGACAGACAGACAGACAGACGGGCGGGCGGACGAACGGACGGACGGACGGACGGACGGACGGACGGACGAAAGCTTACAGCAAATGATTCAAACTTTGCCAATGAATTCTTTGAAGCTTTGCCCCACTCATCATCATTCACTCCGTGGATATGCTGTGATTTCCTTATATAGGTATTGTAGACACAATCATGGTGGTAAGGAAAGTGCACCTAGCAGTCCAATAATTAGCTGAAGCTCACATCAGCGTAGTGTGTGGACAGGGGGTCCGGTGATGCCCTCTTAGGACGTGCGCGGGATGGGACTCCACGACTGCCAATTGGTTAACTTGACGCCCGTTCCAAATCACCCTCGAAACTGTCCCTGCTAATGAATATTGCAGATATTATTCTTCCTCTTTTAGGGGCGGAGCTCCTTAAAGCGGCACTCGTTCGTTCCTCGTAGTCGTAGTCGTAGTGTGTAACAAGTGTTACATTTTGACCTGCAAGGTGGTGCCGGTGGGAGATTTCTCTGGTGCTTTGTTGAACAATAAAAAGTTCTTGGCGTGGGCGTTAACTAAAAGCCGAATGCTCCTGTCTCTCATTCCCGTTATCAGCCATTGGCATGTTCCAGTAGGAAACTTTAGACGAAGTAGAAGTATTAAAAGCCGACTTCTGCTGTCTTTACTCCCAGTAGCAGCCCTATGTTTACCTCCAAGGTAGTGCCTGGTAGATTTCTCCTGTGCGTGATAAACAATAAAAATTTTTGTTCAAAAACGCCGTTGATTGGATGAAATAAACTAACGAAACAGGCCGGATGTTTCTAAAAGCAAACGAAAAGACGCCAGATGTTTCTAAGCAAAACAAAAAAAAAGCCCAGCTGCTAACGAAAGACGCCAGTGTTTTCTAAAGCATGGTTTTATAATCAAAACCATATCGTACAGGCTTTGTAGTTGCCGATTGCTCGTTGCCGTCGGTGTCCGCTGTATGGTACATCGAGCACTATCTGACAGGAAAAGGTTGCTACGTTATACTCCCTGGGCACAACCTCCTTGGTTTTGAAAAGGTTTAGCGAGCATTGGGCTGCAGTGCCATGAATACAGTAAACTAGTAATACCATGAACTCGAGGGGGTTAAAGGTGGGAAGTAGACCCGAAGCGCAAGCCGTAAGAAAGTGTGCATGTGCCACCTCTCATTTAGTCCTTGAATGTCCGCTGGATGGCGGTGCTTCTATATGAGGAATTTATGATGAAAATATGCGAGATGCTGGTACTTGGAGTGTTGAATAGATGGACGAACGGACACAAACAAATGCATAGATGGACGCATGAAAGGACGCAGGGGTGGATGCGTGGACGAACGCAGGGATGGACGCACGAACAGACACACGTACGGATGGGCGGATGAACGCATGAACGGTCACACAGACGGACGCATGGACAATCGCAAGCAAGAACGAATGAACGGACGAATGCTTCGCCCCACTCTCCATCATTCACTCTGTGGATATGCTGCCATTTTTTAATATCACCTGCGAATCGTTGCTTCAAGGTCGATGACTGCACGTGCACGCAGAAAACGCGACATGCGTAAAGCCTTCAGCTGCAATGACTTCAGAAAAGCTACAAAGATTGCCCTTGAGAAGGCTAAATTTAGTGGACCCGTGGTGACTGTATGTGCCCTGTACTGAGAACACGTGCATTATTTTACACGCTTTATGCCATCAGCTGCATCACATCCGGCAGAACGGCAGGATGTTCTATTTCCTTGTGAAATAGCATCCTGTCGCATGACTTTGGTATCCGTTCTTCTTTGAATATTCTCCACATGGCTATAGCGACCGTTCCAAGCTGTTTTGTCGACACTTGTATGGGCTATAACGCATGCAATGTACGACACATGTGTCTTTTCATTTCGGGAAAATTTACAGATGGGCATGACTTTTCGGTTCGATGTGAACCATAAAAGGAACGCTGTTCCGTGTCAAACCTTGAGTCTGTTGCATTCACTCGCGTAGTAGTCAACATGGTGACCCTTATTCTTACAGCTATTGCATCACTGCTGGCTGCGATAGAAGCAGGATCTGGTAAGTACTGTCCCCACGTTACTGGAGTAATTCAGCAAAGATTCTCGAAAAGTGCACTTTCATTAAGGAACTGTTACCTTCTAGGTGTGCTTCTTGCGGGAAAGCGATTGCAGTGCGTAACGACAATGTCGACAGATATAGCTCGCTTAGCACAATATTTAGGTCAGAATATATTCGCTAAGAAACAATTTTCAGTGTAAGAAATGCGTCTAACAGTTTTTGTGAATAGTGAGGAAGGTCTAGAAGGAACCTTCACTTAAAATTTACTAAGTGGGTCTTGGAGAACTAATCGACATTCCTGAGGTGAAGTTAACTCACGAATACTCTGCTGTAACTTTATTGTTCAGTACTCACTAGAGTAGCGATGCACACTTTTTTTTGCTTAAAGACATGTTGTCGGTTGACAAAGTGTTAGTGGCATCGCTAACCGGTCCACTTTTTAAAAAAAACTATTTTTGTTATCAATACCTTAATTTGCTTGTAGTACCAGGAAATAGACCAATTACCATGCTGCATTTAGATGAGCATGAATTATTGTGATGTCGGGCGAATTTAATGCAGCTTAGCACTAAAGCTTTCCTTGGTTACAGTTGTGCCTTGTTGATACACGGAGAAACATTTTTGTGCGGCAACTGGACAATAAAATTAGCGTAATCGTGCGATGGGCTAGTTTGCATTACTGAAGGAGAAAAATGCCCTCACGTTATTCTTAATCTAATCTCATCATGCCGGCGAATACTTTTGGTCTCCTTGTTATGCAATGGTTCCTGACTTATTGCATAGACTCTCGCACGAAGTGCTCAAGTATTTATCAAAATTGCTTGAAGGCAACCGTATTTAAAAAACTTCACAGATCTCACTTATCTTGGGTGTCCACTTCAAGTGGAACAGTAGGCTATTCGTGGCCTATGTCATTTTTAGTGCTTCGAGCCAAGTATTGTGACTTGTACGAACCTGCTCGTGTATTTTGAGTAGTTTTGTATATGCCACGTTGGTAGGCCAGTATTTAACGAAGGTTCTTTTTCGGGGCGGTGGGGAAAAGGTATGTGGCGAGCACTTGCCGAAGGGTCTGAATATTTGATGAGAACACCCATTTAACAAAAGTACTATATTTAGGAAGCCACAATTGTGGCGGTGGAGGCAAAGACCTATTCCAGGGTAGCCTAAGATATAACGCACGAAGTAGCAAATAACTCGTGTGAATCTTATGTATCCAAACTCAACAGAACGCTGGTTTAAAGGAATGTGGCCACTCTATGGATCAAGGCGGTTTTCGAGCTGCAAGTCCTCTGTGCGATAACTAAGCATCCATACAGCACTGAAAGTTCACAGGTTATCTCTTGGTGTCTGTCGAGATAGCACCCACTCCAGCGCTCCCGAACATGCCCTTGCGTGAAAAATTTTTAGATGCTGCATGGGCGACGTACGTAGCACACCCCCACCGCCAACCGATGCTCCTTCGCCTGACCAAGGAGGCCCGGTGCGTTTCCTTTCTCAATGAGGAGTCGTGCACTGCTGGCCTCACACATGCATTGTTTGATGTATGCGTTGTTACTCACGCATAGATCAAACAATGCACGGGGTGATGTTATTGAAGGTTCATACGGAACATGATGTCAACGGCGATGGTAAAAAGGTGGAAAGTTGCCGAGAGTGTGCATGTCACTTCTTCCGCATTGAAACCAGCACTGCAATCTCATTTGTTTTAAATTTCCTTTTTTTGTTGTTTTGTTACACGCTCAAAATGCGTTGATAATTTTTATGCCCAGGAAGTACACGAGACACACGTGAATAAAGTTTGCATATGGCTCCTTTGAATTGGCGATATTTGTGAATACAAATGAGTTGCATTTGAAACTATCCTACAGTAAGTAAGCAAGCCTTGCCTGGCGAAGTACCTTCCAGTGGCAGCTTCAAAACTGCTCCAACTCACGATTAACAAAAAAGGATACCATCCCACCTTGGGCACCCGGAGTATGCTTCCCTAAGTTAATTATTTTTATGTTGTGGTTGGTCAGCGGCAACTTCAAAAATAGATCCCATGCTCCGTAGAGCCAGCAGGCAATAAAAAGGCTTTCACACTCGCCGTCATGGCTACGAGTTGCGCTGACTAATCCTGCTACTTCTACACGCTGCCCCGCCGCGGTGGTCCAGTGGCTAAGGTACTCGGCTGCTGACCCGCAGGTCGCGGGACCGAATCCCGGCTGCGGCGGCTGCATTTCCGATGGAGGCGGAAATGTTGTAGGCCCGTGTGCTCAGATTTGGGTGCACGTTAAAGAACCACAGGTGGTCGAAATTCCCGGAGCCCTCCACTTCGGCGTCTCTCATAATCATATGGTGGTTTTGGGACGTTAAACCCCACATATCAAGCAATCAGTGGTCGAAATTTCCGGAGCCCTCCACTTCGGCGTCTCTCATAATCATATGGCGGTTTTGGGACGCTAAACCCCACATATCAATCAATCAATCAATCAACCCCTTTTACACGCCAAGATATGCCAAATGAGGTGGATCGAAGGGCGACCACTCCTGTGACTCAGTCAGTATGGAGCATCGGATGATTTATCCCAATTCGAATTGTCTGTTCTTGAACTTTCATAAGAATTACTGCCAGTAACTTTCCTTGTACTTATTGGGAAATGTTTATTAATTTTCTTTCAGGTTGTGTCTAACAAAAAAATCTTTAAATATGACATCTTTCGTTTATTTTTACTACGGTAATTCTTCTGAGCCGCAAATAAGGTAACGCTACCTCCCATTGAATATGTTCCTGTTCTTTGCAGCGCCCTGCACTAGCCTCACTGTGCCTGACTTTCTAACTGCTGACACGGTAAGCTGTTTTATATGCATCAACCGGCCCCGTGTCAGACATCAGTGGATAGTAACAAGTCTAGCATATTCTCACCAAAGCGCTCCATTGGCGCATGTTGCTGTGGTGCACACTGGGCTCATGCTGCAATTACGAAAATCTGGAAGCCCGGGTACCTTCGTTTTTATCACCACTCTCAATACTGCTTTACCCTCAGTTTCACATCGTTTCATGCAAGGTTTTTTGGGTAATTTGCACCTATTATTGTCATCCGGAAAGGTCACTACGGGTGGAGGCGATCAAAGCAGTCTTCAGCTTCTTGAAGGAAACAGACTTGCACTGGTGGTTATAGACTAAAACTGCTATGATGGCTGTGCAGTGCGACTTTGTGTGTGTGTGTCCTCTCCTTTATTTGTTCCCATCTTTCTAACCCTCTAATCCCTGTCCCCAGTGTAGGGTAGCATACCGGTCTTTCTAGACTGGTTAACATCCATGCTTTACCTCTCTCATCTGTTTCTTTCTTGCCGTCTTGCATATATTATTCGAAAATAAGTACATATGCTGCGCGTGTCGAACTGGCCCCTGTTGCACCCGAAGGTTCTCTGCATCCCAACTGCTGCTACTCTGGAGTTGAGTTGTTGTTGGGACCACGCCATTACCCACACCGGGGACCCAGGTGGAAGACGCTAAGCATGAAAACAACTGAAGAGGAAAACTTTGCAGAGTTTTTTTTTTTTTTACAATGTTCACAGGCGAGCACTTCGCCACACTACAAACATCTAGACGAATAGTCGTCGTACATCGTGATGATCTCGTGTCGAAGGCTCTCGAAGCGCCCCGCAGAGATCGGTTATGAAGGCTCCTTTTTCCCCAGATCTAGGGATAAGGGAATGACTCCGAACGACGCTGTCCAATCATCACTGGACACGCCATTTTCGACGGTGCTGCCCACCCGCCCAGGTAACGTGTTTGACAGGGGCGTAGCGACGACACCATAGCTTTGGCGTCAAGGTGCTCCGTGTTTTAGGTTAGAAAACTACTGGGCGATGGGTGCCTGCTCGTACTATCGTTTGCATCAAAGGGTCACTGCTCACCACGCTCAATTAGCGAGACGGCGCTGTCATCCACGCTGACGCCGCTTTTTCTTCAAGGAGGGTGTCGCCACCGAAACAATTTTGATCATTCTATTGTGGCACATTGCGGCGTCGCGATTTCATGGCACCTCACTTGGATTGGTTTGGAGGACAATACCACATTTAATATGGACGGCTGTCGGCAGTCTCGCATCTCACTCCTTTCTCTTTGGCTCAGGCGCTGGGTCCTAACTCTGTTCGGCGAATTGGAATGCGTGAAAGGGCGAAACATAAAAAAAAGAAATGAAAAAGAAATAAAATGGAAGACAAGAGAATACGTTAGGCAAATTACCAAGAGGAAGCAGGGAGAAATAACGCAAGAGCATAACAAGTTAAAAATGTGTAGAAAGAAGGAGACAACACTAACAGAACCAGACACAGAGAGAAAAAAGATACACAGCTAAAAATTAAATAGAGGTATGGAGGTAAAGAAGCAGTGAGATAAAAGATTAAAAGAAATATATAAAGATAAAGAAACCATAGAAAGAGAAAAAAACAGACACCAGAGAAATATGGCGAATGAAAACAGAAAAAAAAATGAAAAGATTATGTGGAAATGGGAGAGAAAAGGCAGGCTGACAGAAACGTGGGAAAGAGGTACAAGTAGAGATAGAAAGTGTGAAATAGGAAAAAATAAATACATGGGAATAAATGGAAACAATCCAGTACGAAAAAGACAACGCAAATACAGCGACCGAAAAAAGCCAGGAGAGCAAGAATAATGAACAGGAAGAAAGACTGCCACCCAGCTATGCTGTTACTTTAGGCTCCGCTACCATGCCTTTCAATTTGGAAACTCTAGGTAAATATGCCCACTAGAAAAGTTGTGTTTTCAACAAGCAGGAATATTTCATTCATCCTCAGATAACTCTCAATTTCTTACGTTTAAATATAAACGAAGACATTTTACTCAAGCGAGAAATGGTGCAGTCGAATAAACATATTAAAAAAATAGTTGGCGAACTTTCTAAAGACCCACATAGACAATTTACTGCAGCATTCACAGTAAATTAAGGAGCATGTACAGCGCAAATTAGACAACACAGATTTCGCAGCTCTTTTTCAATTGCGGGCCCATGCGGTTGAAGTGACCTGATCTTACAGGCAATGAAAAGAAAATCGGGGAGGATGTAAATATGAGTTATGTCAAAAAAACGGTGTGGAAATTCGTCCGATTTACGCAATGTGTGCGTTTTTTTTACAATAAAATTTCTTCTTTTCATAAGCACAATGAAGCTACTCATGCTAACGTTGATAGTCGATAGCGGTTGCACACGGTACAACAAGCTTACCTTCTTGGCAACTTGGTGTCCCATCTAAATAGTGTTGTAAAAGTCATTCACCGAATTTCGCTTGAAAAAAAGTGTACTCAGAATTTCATTTTTGTTTACCAGACTCACTGCTATGATGAACAGCCTCTTGACATCTGCACGCCGTACAATGTAAGTCGTCCCTTAATTTTCCGCAGGCAAATATTATTTCACCGTTTAAGAAATGACTGCAAGCATGATATATAAAGTCTGTGCATATGACCACACTTGCACTCCTTGGTTTTTCAGGCAAACGACACGGAGAAAGTACGTGAACAAATCAATGTAAGTGTTTATCAACTCTGATAGTCTTTGTCATCTTCGTCATAAACGCAAGTAAACCCTGAAAAAAGCGAAGCATCCTTCTCAAAGTAATCAGTCCCTCTGCCTAAAACGTGACCCTAATCGTTTCGCAAAGAGTGTGGTCTGCATGTGTTAAGCTTGAAGTTGGGAGTTTGTAAAGCATTTTGTACGGAAATGTATAATTTGAACAGGCTTACAACGCTTGCAATTCTGATCGCTTCCAGCGCTATATAAATCTATGACACGTTTTCCCCTAACTTTACCAGACTCGTGCGTCCCATTGACATGTATTGGTGCCTAAGATTAAGACGCATGTGAACTTGTCAACGAATACCTAGCCTTTATTTCGGGCGATGAACAATCACTTCCGGCGTGTTTTTGAGGTGGTGCTCCGGCTGACGTCACCTCTTTTAAAAGACGAGCTACGCTCATTGACATTATTAAGTTCTTTGCAGTAAAAACGCAGCATGGCACCACGTAAGTGTGAACAATTGTGTTGCCCTTAATCGATGAAGGATGTGCCTCGTTGTGCCCTAGATTTTTTTATGTTGATGGGCCGCGACGCAGCAGAGAGTCTTGGTCTTTCTGTTCCGACGTGGGAGCGGCCCGCAACGGGCTAAAGCGCGTTCCGAAGGACCAAATAGAGTTCATCCATTCAACCATTAAATGTTTTTTCTTACAATTGCACAGTGAACGTAACTGTTTGCCTACATGCATTAGTGCCTCTTTCAATCGACCTATTGCTTATCACTCCTCGAAAGTAGTGACGTGTTTCGCAGAGATAGAGTGCAGGCATTCGCATTTTTCGTACACTCTTCAAATGTTTCCAGTTAGAAGCGCAATTTTCGGTTAATTGTTTCGTGCTATTACTTCACTTCACATTTTCTAAGCCTATTTGTTTTGAAATCCACACTGGTTTTCTTATACACGTTCATATTTGTTTACTTGCTGTTATTTGTCTTATTTGGCGCTACACTACAGTAAGTAAATGCATATACAAATTGAGATTACCTAATGTGGGCTGTAATAAAAATGCTGCACATTGTCACCCTCTCTCAGCAAGTCGTGAAAAAGCGTTCAGAACAGCCAATTGTGATTGATAATAGAATTATTTCATTATCACTCTCAGTGCACCAACTACGACGTTAACTACAAGGTCCTCGCACTGACACTGGCCCTCGACGCTTCTGTGGCGGCAACTCCCGGAAGAAGGCCGCAACCAAAGTTACGGTATGTTCTTAAGCGTCAGCGAAAGCCAAAAAGAAAACACGGTCAATAAGAGTGTACGGTGGGCGATAATGAATCGCATTGATGACCCGTGTGCTTTTGTGCACTATATTAACAGGGGTGTGCTCGGTTCTCCATCATCCGCCGCGGTGGTCTAGTGGCTATAGGGTACGCGGCTGCTGACCCACAGGTCGCGGGATTGAATCCCGGTGGTGGCGGCTGCATTTCCAATGGAGGCGGAAATGCCGTAGGCCTCTGTGCCATAATCATATTTGGGTGCACGTTAAAGAACCCCAGGTGGTCGCAATTTCCGGAGCCCTCCTCTACGGCGTCTCTCATATTATATGGTGGTTTTGGGACGTTAGACTCCACATATCAATCAATCAATCAATCAATCATTGGTTCTCCATCAGAGGGCGGAAGACTCAAATTTCATCACGATGCCCCTCCTTCTGCAGGTTGGTAAGTCGAACACGAAAACAAATGTCCACAACAAATGAGATAACGAAAATAAAATCGATGCGTTGCTCCTCGAAACAGCCCCGCCATCTGTCCTAGGCTTTCCATGTGATGGTGCGGCGTGAACAGTTCTTCTAAAGCAACATCAGTGGTCTTAAGTTGGCTTATAGTAAAAAAAAACATTGTAACCACAACCATGCGCGAAAATTGGCATGAATGATCTAAGTAAAGATGTAGGGCAGAATATGTGCTCCCTATATATGATTAGAGGGGAAACAGTCGCTAGCCCCTGCCCCCCCCCCTTGCGTGCTCTAATGACAGCGTTGACGTTTTACGAGAACGCTCCGGTGGGTCTTAAGGCCCATATTCACAAACCAACCTCGGCCTTTCCTCACGTTTCCTCAAGTTTCTGTACTCTCCGTGACGTCCGTTATAAGCGCACAGAAATGGTAAAAGGGTAAAATATAGCAACGAGGTTTCTTCATGTATACTAGCCTACTTTGCTCAGCAAGAGCAATAACGGCTTAAACCCGATGAAGAAAACTCGAGGTATGGTTGAGGTTGGTTTGTGAATAGGGGCCTTGAGTATACAATGACGTCAGTGTTCGTTTTAACCCAGTTTCACTCAGCAGGCATAATTTTCTGTCATTTTTCTAAGTTACAAAGGGCGCACCAGTTGCCTCCGACAAATCGAACACAAGCGCCTGCAACAAAATCTTTCTGTTCAATGTTTAATGGATGTTTTGTGGCCACGGCGATCACGACTGCGAAAACAAAGAAAGCTGCGTAAACTAAGGGGAAACCCGTCTGTCATGAGTAGCGCTACTGTTGCGGTTCGCGAATTTGGAATAGTCACATCATGGAAACAATAGCAAAACTTCAGGGCTAATCTACCCTCGCGGAGATTCCCTTTGGTTAGTTCCCATTTCAGCCTTTCAATTCCTCTCTCAGTCGCGTGATCATAAGCCTCAACTGAAAAATTCATCAACGCTCAAAATGCACTAGTCATCGTGGTATCTGAACGCAAATGCAATCAAGGGGCTTCATTCGGCAGTGATGATCCTCTAAAGCTGTCATATTTGAGGATCAGCGTCTACATTGTCGGGGGTTGCCCTCTCCAGTGTCCCAATGTTGTGCTTGACTTGACCTAGCCGTTATTCTTACATTATCATAGTGTAGGCTCTCAGAACAGAACAAAATGTTTGGCAGAACTTCTAATACAGCCTAGGCCGACACAGCCAACATTCAATGTCTTCTCCTCATTGCTTGAACTTCTTTTCTTGTAGGTGTTACAGAGTTTATTGTGCAGTGGTGTTCCAGTGGATAGCGCTTCCAAGGCATCTCTACAATTACACATGTGAAGAGTACTTGGCTATGGTACCCGTTACCTGTGACGCTCCGGTTACCTTAAGTGTACCTGACGTCAACGGCCTCGGAAAGGTAAAAATAACTACTTCTCTCGTTTCCAGCAAGACTGGTGCTTCAACTTTTCTGCGTTGAAAGTTTTATTTCGTTGAGGACATTCAAGTAACACCTCTCTGAAGGCTAGTTTTCCTGCCTTCATGACAGTTCACGCTACCGAAGATCCATGTAAGAACAAATAGAACAGATTGTGTATATTTGTTTTGTACCTGTCTTTCACGAATCCGTGGTAGCGCAATAAGATATGAAAAGATAATAAACATCCTGAGAAAAAAACTCCTCGTTTGATGAAAAAGTGCCTTGATCCGGCTATTTAAAAACGAGCCAATGATTTTATCTTGTTGCTTTATCGCGCTGCCAAATCATTTCGTTTAGTGTTTTTTTTTTCGCTATGAAGTTAGAACACTGCAACGAAAATGACCTGGCCTTCTAGAACTAAACAAACCTTGACCAGTACGCCACATTCATAGATTGAAGAAGGAGCTAGCTGGTTTAGCATGCTTGCGGAGGGAGTGGGCGATAACCGCAGAGCAAAAAGCATGAACACGTGGACGCTGTTCGTGTGTATCCAATTTTTAGTACCCGGTTATTCTCTAAGTTTACGGTCTGCAAGGTCTTGCAAGGTCCAGAAATGTGTCGCTAATATACAGCGAGCAGAATTTACAAAATGGATAACAAACACATTCCTAAAATTGAAGTAGCGATATAGAACCATTCATGAGGGTGTCAGTGTGGTTGCTACTCACTTCGACAGTGTATGCCTTTTACCATGTTATATGCTCAGATATCTGGCGAAAGGACACCACTTGACTCTGAACTGTCAACGCCATAGGAGCTTAAAAGCTGGAGACGTAAGCTAAGCAGGTGATATCATCGTTAAGCCTGATTAAATCTGATGTGGAGGTGCATGATAACTTATTCACTGATCGATAGTTGAAAACTCGGAAAGAGGTGTATTTATTTTGCAACCCAAGAAAATTCCGAGCATGCAATAGCAGCTGAAGGGGGTGATAAAAAGTCACCCATACCTTTATTGGGCGTGTCGCTATCGCGTCAACTTCTAAAAGGCCGAGCTTATGTGTCCCCCAATGCTTTTTTCACAGTGCGCTCAGCGAAACAAGATCGCAAACCTATGCATGGAAGGAGACAGTCTCACTGTAAGTAGGACATATTTTCACCAATGTCGCGTAATTAGCTTTTTAATAATCACACTTAAGTTAATAATTACCTATGCAACGTCTTGATTTAGTTCAGCCCGCATCGTATGAGCTTCGGCAAACGTAGATTTCTTATCTTCTGTAATTTTCTTAACCTAAATTTTCTACCCAGTCACATAGAATAGCTGCAGTAACAAGGGCTCTGTAATCTACATAAAACTGAAAAAGGCAACTGCAATAGAAAAAAAATCGTCAGCCTACTCTTTTTTTTAATATGCTCCGCTTAATTCAATAACAGCTCGCACAAACATGAACCGTGAAGTTGGAATTCATTCATCCTCATTCATTCTCAAACATTCTTTTATCACTATCATTTAGACTTCACTCTACACTTCTAAAATACTGGATGTCTAAGCATGCAATTCTAGTTTTGGGTTCTCAGCTTGAAGTTCTTCCATTCTCCCTGCCGTATTTGTAAGGCTATTTGAATAGAATATAGTTACGAGTGTTTCCTTTAATCTTATGTTTCTGTGACGGCGTGCTTTTGAGCGCACAATTTTGGTATATATTACTTGTTTTGTGCTTGTCTCAAACGAATTTTCTATTTTTTCAGTGGCAAACTTTTCTGGACCTGATTAACTTGATAAGGGTGCGTTGATCTTCTTTTAACTTTCTGTTAGGCTGGAAGAAGAGTGGTTGTGTAATTTAAAAGCATAGGTGCGAGAGGTTACTACACGAAGTAGCTAGCAATTTTTTTTGCACTTCGGCGTAATTTGGTGTGCTTTACGGGGGTTAGATCAGCTACAAAAGTATGATTTAGAAGAGCTGTTTACTCCGTATGGTTACGATAGGTGTTCAAGTTGAAATGATATAGTGTTTGCTTCATATGAAATGCTCTTTAATGCGGAACATTTGATTGTCGCACCTGTCAAAAATCCGGCGTCGGTAGCCCCGGTGACAGCTCCACTGCGCATGCTCACGTCTCGTGTCTCTTGCCGCGTGCTCGCGTCTCGTCAAAACTGTTGCTCCCTTTCCCTTCTCTCGCCTCGCAGGCCGTCGCAGGCAGCAGTCGGCTAGTGCAAAAACTGACTGCTCGCGCTGCATAACAGTCCACTAGCCACAGCGTATATCTAGGCACTGGGTCACGCGTTCGTATACGGGCGTCTGCCTTTCGCTTGACTTGACGCTTTGCTCGAATCGAGTATATTCTATGAAAGCAACAGTACCTTCGACAAGTAGTTGGGCACAACCCAGCATCAGCGTCTCACCACAAGTTGAAGGCAACGCTTCTCTTTCGTTCAATAAGTAAGAATAATGAAGAGAAAATAACAATTAAGCATTCCCAAAGCAAACCCACTTGCGATATATTCACGTGATATGCCCACCCTTCGGTAGCGCATTTCCTCGAGTTCGCCCTCTGGGAAGATGCGGGCGGCGTTTTTTAACATAAGAGTAAGGGAAGAAGCTGTAGACTGGCCCCAGAAGCGCAGTAATTATGTGAAACCATACTTCCTTCCCTCATTTATTACCGGGACAGCGTTAAAGGACTCATTTCTCACAAATTCCGGCGTCGTTCGTTGTGAGCGAAAATTACATCTTTGCGCGACCGAAAAATTGAGAAACACACTAAGAAAATAAATAATCAAATATTCTTGGAATGAGTGGGTGTCGAACCTGGCTCGTTTGCGTGGCAAGCAAGTGTCCTACTTGAAGAGCCACACCTCTGCTTGCGATTAAGGTAAAAATCACTTCTGCTTGGAAATGCCATGAAAGTAACTTTCAAGCTTTACAAACACGCGTCCCGTATACATGCTTCGCAATGCACCATGAAATATTGCTGTAATAATGTGCGTTACAAGCGTACATTGCCATCAGGCGTCAGAACATGGAATTATCACAATGACTTTGTGGTTTGAAGCCAGTCACTCTCTACACAAGGCGGACACGTGGCAGCACCTATTCCCTTAAGACCACGTAGTGAGTGCACAGCAAGTTCGAAAAAAATGCTCGTGGACTAATTGTTGCAAGTTAGCACTTAGACAGCAGGATCGCTATCGCGTGCAACTCTTATAGGCCCAGCTTAAGGGTCCCCCAATTTGGTTGCTGATGCCAGGTAAAATATACATACAAAAACGAACATTTCTCAATAGCTTCGAAAGATACGCGATGGTACTACCGATACGGTCAGTAAAAAAAGATTAGTCGTAAGTAAGAAGAACCAATGTGTGCATTCAAGCATGGTGTTCATCACGACATCATCCTAATGGTAGCTCCATCAGCCACATGCCTTCCTGCGGTCACCAAACATGATTTTTTTAAGATGATTCGCACATTACATGGAAAAGTACAAATGTAGAAATTCATAGTTAATGAACTGTTCGCACGATGATATGTGTCACAGTTAGCTTAGTGACCAAAATTTCCAAAAGAACATGTTTTAGAATACGTAGTACGCATTCCTCATATGATGATTTCTGTGGCGAATTTATATGAGGTATCGCACTGCGCGAAACTTCATTTAAAATGAAGCACTAAGAGGGAGCTTAGACGGATATAGTCTTATCCATATGATAACACTAATTATGGTGGCTAAAACACTTTAACTTTTTTCTCATTTCAGTGTGTCTACTTCAGCATCATACCTACCCTTCCATTTCCGGAGTATTGAGAAAGGTGCGACCTCGAAGGACGCACAATGCATCGTACCTTGCGCACCTGTAACCATACCCACCTGTTTGTTTCCAAAGTAAATAAAGTGCACAAAATGCAACGATTGCGCATTGGCTTCATTATTGCAAGACCTTGAGAAATGGTGCGTTGCACGTGCGACGTGGTTATATGCACCTCGAAATAGGCTCTCGTGTGAGCCGTGCGAAATCAGGACGAGCCCATATTCGTAACGAAACCTAACAGCGTGATGAAGATACTTGACGTCCACGGCAGCGCACCACGCAAACGACACGAATAATGCGCCTTACGTTTTCTGGACATCAGTCTTTGTGGACGAAGAAAAACTAACGCACTTCTTGGAAGTCGAATATTGGAGCCTGCGACATGGCTCTTGCTTGTATATAAAATATCACTTGGCGTCTTTTTCCACTGGGTTACACAGAGAGCTACACTTTTTCGATGGAGGCGAAATGGCTGTAGGCCTATGTTCTTATATTTTGAGCACGTTAAATAACTCTAGGTGGTTGAAAGTTCCGGAGCCCTCCACCATGGCGTCTCCATATTCATATGGTAGTGTGTGGACGTTAAATCCTACATATCAATATATCAATCAATATATCAATCAATCAATAAATCATTCGATCAGAGAGCTACACTTCATAAAAAAATAATCAACTGAATACGAGAAACGTAGTAACATCCACAAAACATTTCACCCGAAAATCATAACCAAGTGTGTGTTTTCGACTTTCCTGGGGTAAAATTGATGCAGACATTACCAAACGTCAATTTTGGCCATAGATATAAATACTCATTCGGCTACAGCCTACTGCTTTTCGTATAAAAATTAAACAATTCATAATATAACGTCTTCATACATACACTACTCGTGAAAACAGCTTAAGACAGTTTTGTCCCTGTGAATTGTTCCAATACAGCATGCTAAAGCTGATCTACACGGAGCCAAGCGCACTCTGTTTTGGAGTAAAAGTTCGTCTACCTCGTGTCTCCCGTGGTTATCTATCGCGTCGTGTTGACATTCAGCCACCGGTGAAGATTTAGTTCTGGTGTTTAAATAGACATTTTTTTATAAACAGGAAGTGTGCTTTCCTTTGCTGCATTGAAAATGGTAGCACAACGATTCAGCATACAAGGTTTTTTCTTACAACGCGCCAGTTTACAAAGCAGAACGAGCACGAACCAGCCACTAGGTACGGGATTCAAAGCTCAAGCTTTTGTTTGTAATGCCCTTCAACTTGTTTAAAGATGCGGAAAGTAGCTCTGCTTACAAGTACCCCACTTATCTTCTTCACAATGCAATGTAGTGCGCCAGCGCTACTCAAACGTATGTTGACTTCAAAATACGACGTCGAAACCACCAAGACGTCATGGGAAAGTGGTCTCCCCACAAAGACGCCCGAGTCATTCGAAAAAGTGAATTTTCGTTTTTAATGCGAAACATCTCTTCGCGTACTGAGGCACTTTCGGTGTCTATCTGCGTATCTATCTGGCTGTCTACGTCTGGGTGATCTCTTTATCACCCCCTTAACTTGAGGTGAACTAAAATTAGTATGAAAGGGTATGATGGTTTGACGAATATGATACGCTAGTCATGACGTGAATAGTGCCACAAATCCGTCGCCTACGTCGTCAAACAGTTTCCGCCAAACGGTGGGACACTCACGCAGGTGGTTTTGTGCCCCTGGTGATTAAGTTTGTATCCAGAAATGGCGGCTACAGGCATTGGTAATATAAATGCGAGAGTGCTAGAAAAACTGAATGAGGCATCGTTGATTCGTCAAACATTAGGGTATCAGCAGGAACTGAACCCAGTATTCTGCTTGGCGTTCAAGCATTCTACCGCAGAACCATGCCACGCCTCGGCCCTGCTTTGAAAAAATACTATCAGGTACATGCTGGTAAAACGTCAGGTGTGTTTGCGATTCTGGCTGTCTAGTTTTATAAACATTACATGTGTACTTTATCATTACGACCATCTCGTCGGGTTAACGTGGGCTCTAGTAAAGTCCAATGCACCGAAGTTAATTGTGGCCTTGTCGAGGGCCGCCATGCTCGCCAGCACAAGCGTTACCGATAATATCAGCTTACTCCTTCCCGTGTTGCTAATACTGATGCTGATGTTGATATCGTTGTGCAAGTGTAAACAAATGGGGAAATAAATCATGTGCTGCGACTCTTCAACATATACTCACTCGTACAACATACATATTGTGAGCGCAGTCACCGACTCTTCTTTACTAATTGGACGTGTCATTATCATTTGTATAATTTTCTCATTTGTAGATACCATCATCAGTGTGTGCCAGCTCGAGCTCGTCTCGAATAAAGCTCTTCCTCAAAAGTGGTGGAGGTGCTGGTTATCTCGGCTATGACAAAACGTACGACAAAATACGCAGTCGGTTCACCTAGCCTGGCCTCTTATCCACCATTGCCAAATATGTTTCTTCGTGTGCATTATGTCAATGGTGGAAACGACCCACTACTGCTCCTTCTGGCTTTCTCCAACCTCTTCCTTGTCCCGCTTTGCCATTCGAAGTCATCGGGATAGACTTGTACGGCCCCCTTCCCGTGACATCCAATGGAAATCGTTGGATTGTGACGGCTGTTGACCACCTCCCTCGTTACACGGAAACAGCCTCGCTGCACGCTGGTACAGCCACTGAAGTAGCTGATTTTTTTCTGCGTAACATATTTTTACGCCATGGAGCTCCACCTTTTCTGTTCAGCGACCACGGCAAGGTCTTTCTTTCCTCTATTGTTGCTGAGGTTCTACGCGCCACCAACACCATCCGCAAGACAACTTCTACTCATCATCCGCAAACAAATGGCTTGGCGGAACGCTTTCATCGTACTCTCTCGTACATGATTGCCATGTACGTCAACCCTGACCACACGAACTGGGACGCCATTTTGCCATTCGAAACGTTCGCCAACAATGCGGCTACGCAACGCACCACTGGCTTTTCTCCCTATTTTCTGGCCCATGGCCGCTCTCCAAGTTTAACTCTGGACGACTCCTTCCTTTCGGTGCCTGCTACCTCAGCAGACCCTTTATCCTCACAATTTTTGTCCCGCCTCGAGCACTGCCGTCATCTGGCCCAAATCATCACCAGCATCTCTAAGGAAGCTCGCAAGTCTCGCTACGACTCAACTCACCGTGCTGCTACCTTTTCTTCAGCAGACGAAATTCTTCTCTGGACTCCCGTACTTTGCCCGGCCTATGTGAGAAATTCAACAGCAGTTTAGCAGTTTTATAAGACCTTATATGGTGATTGAACAAACGTCCCCCGTTAATTACCGTATATCACCACTTGATGCTCCCTCCGACCATCGTTGCCGTGGGACAGAAATTGTGCACGTTTCTCAACGGAAGCTTTGTGTATATATATATATATATATATATATATATATATATATATATATATATATATATATATATATATATATATATATATATATATATATATATATATATATATATATATATAGTAGGCATTCATTAAGCACATCTACTATTTTACACATGTTCATCATCATGAGTGGTCGTCATCTTCATCTGCTGTGGGGAGTTCGCTTGCATGAGTTCTGTGTCTTGGGCGTGGCGTCGCTTCATCGTGTCTGCTGGGCCTAATAAAGGTTGTCTTCACCGTTACATCACAAGTGGTGGAGTGTTCTCTACGATCTTCCGTCCTCTCCCAGCCCGCTCTGCCTCCTGGAGCTCCGCTCAGGTCGTCGTTTGTGCCAGGTGTCTGGTAACATGCCTCAGAACGAACCAACCGGCGCTTCTGCGTCTACCTCCACGGTCCCGGCTGCCGCCGCCTATCCATCGTGGATTATCACCGCGCACCAGCGTGAGCCGCCCATGTTCGCCGGACTTCGAGGTGAAGATGTGGAGGATTGGTTGGACCAGTTCAATTGAGCGAGTTCCACGAACAACTGGGATGATCCTATTAGGCTTCGCCGTGTTTCTTTCTATCTGACAGGCATAGCGAAAACATGTTTTTTCAATCATGAAACGGACACTACGGACTGGACACGTTTCAATCAACAGCTTCGCCAAATTTTGGGCACCCCGGTGGTTCGTTCAGCTCTCGCGAAGAAGACACTGGATGCTCGCAAGCAACAATGCCGTGATTCTTACACATCGTACATAGAGGATGTGCTTGCTCTCTGTCACCGTTTCAGCACGTCCATGTCTGAATCAGAGAGAGTTCGTCATCTATTGAAAGGGATCGGCACGGTCACGTTCAATGCCTTGGTCATACAAAACCCCACCACAGTCGCTGGCGTTGTTGCCACGTGCCAACGCCCAGAGGAACTTGAGTCCCAACGGTTACCACCGGACAGCGCTGAAAACACCACCACGACTGATGCCTCATTGCGTGCCATGATCCGGGCGATTATACGGGAAGAGCTACAATCTTTCGGCCTCTCAATGACACCGAGTCCACCTCCCCCCTCAAACACTGTTTTGCGCAACGTTATCAAAGATGAGTTGGCGTCCATGACCGGGCCAGCGTATGTAGACTCTCCAGTACCTCGACTCCAGCCGACGTACGCACAAGTCCTCGCTGGCTCACCACCCGTCGTACAACCGATGCCCGCACACTTGACGCCTGTCCCTCTGGCTTCGTTAACTCCCAGTGCGCCTAGCCAGCCCTTTAACCCACCATGGCGGCCGCCTCGTCCGATCTGTTATTACGGCGGGGCCACATTGCACGCGTCTATCGGAAGCGTCAGCAGGACGAGCGTCGTGGATTCTACACCTACGGACGGGATGATGGGACAAGCTGGTACGCTTTCCAACGTCGTCCTCATGATCCGCCGCTACATCGCTCATCGTCCCCAACTGCGACACCTGAGCCAACCACTTCATACCGCTCTACTAGCACCGCTCACCCTCACCCCTCCACCGCTCCACGTCTCCATTGCGACCAGTCTCGCAATTCACCAACCAACGCCCGGAAAACTAACCTCTGCAGCTTTTGGAGGAAAAGCTGCATCGAACGAAAAGACAGAAATTCCTCCAGTGCGTCCATATAATACGATATCTGTTTTAATAGAAGGTGTGTACGTGGACGCTT